CATCCCAAGTTAGTATGTAAGGTTTTCTATTATTGATACAAGGGTTTTATTGAATAGGGATATCTTCAGTCTTGGAAAAATCCATCAGTTTTCTTGTTTCCATTGATTGCATAATGCTTAATAAATATACTCATGGCAAAATTTATTCTGAGGTGGTAGGCTGGAACTTTTTGCTGTGCCAATAGGCAGTAGTTGTTGGTGTCATGGAGCTTGGTGTGATAGATGTGCAGCTGCTCTAATAACATACTTTTTTATGCTTTGAAGAATTATTATTTTTTTAAATTTTTTAAAAATTTATTTATTTTTACACGCACTTCCCAGATAGCACCCTCCCATAGCCTCCTTCCCCCGACTAGAGCCCTTATACTCTGATATCCCTGCTACTGTCTGCTGTGTTGTCGGCACCCCCAGCCATTCCCCACTACTTGCCCTTCTGGTGAATTTAGTCAGCCTATCTAGAGGTCTTTGTCTAAAAACATACTTTTAAAGTTAGCATCCTGGTGGCCCTGGCAGTCTGCAGGATCACCTTCAAAGTTCCTTCAAAGTTAGTCCTCACTGGCATCTTCTACTGGTGGATCCGGACGTGACCCACCCCTACCTTTGCCCTTGACCTTCACAGATGAGGATGAAAGGCCCTTATGTTCCTGAGCAGAGTTGGTTTGCTCATCTCCACAGTTGAGAGCATCCAGAGGCCAATCACAGCTTTGAAATTGACTTTGGCCTGCTCACCAGGCTCCTGAGAGTCGTGGGCCGTTTGCTGTCACTTTAGCGGGCTCTTCGTTGGTTTCTCTTCCTCCCTTCTTGACTCATCTCCCACTTATCCTCTATAAACCTCAGATTTCAGAAGCAACAAAATTTTCCAGGGCTCTGTGTAAAAGGTTCCCCTGCCTTCTAGCTTCCTGGAGTACTTAGTTTACTAGTGGCTGTAGCCTCATAGGTGACGTTGAGCCAAGCTCCTACTGTCAATAGTCTCAAACTGACACAGCCAGGTGGTAATGCCTGTTGAAGTCCTTCTAAGACAGATCCTCCCCAAAGGTGCATGGTCACACACTGTAGACTCTAGGACACACTTCTAGCGTATATGTGTTGGGTAGGGGGGCTGGCCAGATAGCCTGAGTCACAAAATGTTGTGAGATATTGGAGTTTCCAGCTGTCATCCTAGTGCATCAGTCATGCACTCACATGGGCAAGATCAAGTTTATATCTAACTCTGTCTTTCCTGGGGTCCACTGAGATTTTCAGGAATCTGTCATTTTACAGATGAGAACATGAGACTGTGGTAGCTTGTGACATTCCATGAGCCATGTATCCTTTGAAACTGAACAGGGCACAGATTAAAGAAATAATGCAAAGCTGGGACTCCTCCAGGAATCCACAGTGCCTGATGCCATGGACTGCCACACAGTGGGAACATGCTGTCTGGATAGTTCCAAGAGTGCCTACAGCTGAGGGGTGGCTGGGGTTGGCTGAGGTATAGAGGTTCAAAGCCCTAAAGAAAGGATTAAGATGCGGCTACCTGCTGGGCGTGGTAGTCCATGCCTTTAATCCCAGCACTCAAAGGCAGAGGCAGGAGAATCTCTGTGAGTTCAAGGCCAGCCTGATCTACATAGTGAATTCCAGGTCAGCTGAGGCTGCAGGGAGACCCCGTCTCAAAATAGACCAAAAAAAAAAAAACAAAACAAAACAAAAAACAAAAGAAAAAGATGTGTCCACCTTTGCAGGACACTAATCTGTCACATTTAGCAAACAGAGGTCGTCTCATAGTTAATAACTGGTACAGCCAGGAATGGTACCCAAGAATTTGGTCCCCGAGATGCATGTCATTACTGCCCTGTCATAGCCCAGTCTCCAGGTGAGGATAGCTGCTCTCATCTTCCCACATAGCTAGAAGAATTGAAGAATCATGCAGGGGACAGCAACGTCATCCATCCCTGTGATGACTCACAGAGGAAGTGGGGCATTGCATTTAGCTCAGCTGTGGTTGCTTTCTTCAAAGAGGATTAAAAACCTTTCTTCTAGAGGTGTTTGGGGATTTGATGTTGGTAGAAAATGCTGTGTTACTTTTCAGAGGAAAAGCCCTAATGAAATAAGGTAATCATGTGATTATCTTTATTTAATCACTCCAAATAGAACCTCACATAAGTTCTAGTTTTCAAAAGTGTTTTCTGCCTACTTCCAATAGACTTGCCGGTGGTGACCAGCTTACAGATACCCATGAAGACAGCTATATCCTTGTTTTCCAGAAGAAGAAACTGAGGCATGGCTTACAGTCAGTGGGGTGGAAAATACGCTGATCACTTGCAGAGTCACCACCCAGTAAGGGTCAAAACTCAGATTGAAACATCAAGGAGTTGAAACATTGGAACATTCCTTTTCTTTCAAACAAAGAAGAGATTTATGGAGTGCTACATGGCTTTTGCACCCACCTCAAAACTGCCTTTTCTGGACTCCCATCCCTTTAAGAAAAGCTCTCCTTGCCCATGTGGCTCTTATCCAGGACATGACAGACAGGTCCATATCATACTTGAGTTCTCTTTCCCTGCTATGACCTCTTGTTCATAGAGATTTTGTAGTAGATAAGTATTTCTGAGTTTCCATGTTCTATTAATTAGCTTTTCTCTTTGCTATAAAAGAATACCTAAGAGAAACAATGTAAGGGAGGAAGGATTTATTTTAGTCCATGCTTTCAGGAGATGCCAGTCCATCAGATGAGTGGGAGAGTCATAGCAGCCGAGATGGTGCTCTGCATGACAGCAAATCTTGTGGTGTGGCTTGGTCTCATTTTGGTGATGAGAAAGAAGAGTGGGGCCGGAGGCAAGAGAGGTTATATTGTTCAAGGCCAGCTCCCAGTAGCCTACATCTGCCATCTAGGCCCTATGTCTCAAATGCTCTATAACCTTCCAAAACAGTGCCACCATCTGGGCACCAGTGTATTCAAACACATGAGCCTAACGGAGAACATTTTACATTCAAAGCACAGCACGTATAAATGAATTGTGTCTTATTTCTGTTGATTTTTATACTCACCAAGTCTGATGTTATCTGAGAGTGAACATGTATATTACCTTTTCCTTGGAGTGGATAAGAGATTTGAAAACAGGAAATATATGAAGTTAAAAAGCTGTGTAACAGCCAACACTGAGTCCACGAGGGCCCTTGTCAATGCAGAGAATGAGGTCAGACTTTACCTTGCCAGGTGAGGGACCCTTAGGGACAAGAGGCTCCCAGGGGATAGCACACAAGAGCCTGGAACCACTGAGGGTGGTGTCTGTGGCCTTCAGTAAAATAGCCTCCAAGGAGAAGAGCAGGGGCTTTTTGGTGGGAAAGTATGCCAAAATAAAGTAAAGAATGTGGTAAAGAGTTCTGCTTTAGCTCAGGGTTTATGTGTTGTTTCTGGAAGAGCCTGGGAAGGAAATGTGAGCAGCACTGGGAACTGGGGCAGCAGAACTGTGGTTGGACTTGCTTTGTGCTTTCTACAAAACATTAGTCCTTTCTGGGTTATAGGACCCCAGGTGTTCATGCCCTGGTGTCCAGGCCACTCGGGCCATTATGTTAGCACAAAGCTCTCTAAACTCCTAATTGCTACAGAACTTAAGCCCATTTACAGGCTCCCTTGTAACCTGTGTAGTCATGTGTTGCCTACTCAACACAAGAGAATGACTGTCCCTTTTACCTGCAGAGCTCTCCCAGCACCAAGCTGCATCACTGCCAGCTACAAATTCTGTGCTGTCCTCTGAGCACAGGTTTCTCTCCATTACCACTTTTGGTGCACCCTGTTTCTAAGAAGGCAGTGTTGCCTACTGAAGCGTTATTGCCTGGCTCACTGCCCTACCAGGTAGACAGCTCTGTGTGCTATATCCTCCCCCTCAGCCTGTCATCCAGTGTTGTCAGTTGAGAGCATCAGTGTATGCTAAACGGCATCATGCTGTATGTGGCCCCAAAATGTTGTATCGAGAATAGAAGGGGTTGGGAATGTAGCTCAATGACAGAGTGCTTGCCTGGCATGCATGAGGCCCTGGGTTCCATCCCTAGCAATGTGAAGTTAAGTAAGTATATAAACACACTTTGAAAAGAATGGATATGACATTAGAACCAGAGGCTGCTCATCCAGGGAGGCGAGTCTCATTGACTTGCATTTGTACAGGCAGGTACAACTACAAAAGTAAGGCCAGTCTTTTCCTCTAGAGACACTGAGCTGAGGTACCCATATAGGACTCTCTGGAAGGCACAATTATATCAATAAGGGGAGTTAAGGCTGAGCTTTATTTATTTCAGTGGCTTTTAATTTAGTTTAATCAGAATTACTCATAAATTATGGATTTATTACTCTCTGCCGCTCAGTTAAATCCTCTCGGGATGGAGCTAGCTTCCTTTCTTCAGTGGGTGCCATCCACTGTAATTATAGGGCGCTCTGTCAACATTTAATCAGTGGTACTTATTAATGTGGCATTGATGTGTAGTGGCCATCCCCAGCTCTCAATCACACAGCCAGTGCGGACTCTGACATCATTGCTCTTTGTCACATTAACCAGCCCCTGGGCTTTCAGGCCAAGCTTGGTGTTCACTTTTTACAAAACATATATTCTGTCTCTTTGGTTCAGCCTTTCCTTTGTCCCTGTGGACTTAAATACTCTTAGCCTTAGAACTTCGGTCTGGAAGGGCTTTGAGAATACAGCCTGTGCCCACAGCCTTGAAGATCTCTTTTCACACCCTGCCCAGGAAGTGTGAAATTCTAAAAGTTTTGTCTGTGGTTGAACATGATTGCATAGTGTGTGTGTGTGTGTGTGTGTGTGTGTGTGTGTGTGTGTATGTGGGTGGGTGGGTGGTGTGTATACACATGTGAGGTAATCGTAAATTCCTAAATACAGAATTTATGACCCAGAGAAAATAGGTCATCTTTTGGTTTGTTGAATATTTATGGTGATGGAGCATTTGAAGCTCTTCTAAAGAAATTTGTACTCATAAAATAGAGCTCATGGCTTTCCCCTCTCTCCTTTTAGCCTCTATGGCAGACACATGCAGGCGAATCCAGAACCACCCAAGAAGAATAATGACAAATCAAAAAAGATAAGCCGGAAACCCCTGGCAGCCAAGAACAAATGAGGAGCAGACCCGCAGGCTTCCAGCCTCCTGCCTTGACTCTCTTGTCTTCTCTTGCTCTGTCTCACAAATAAACACAATGTGCATGTGGCTTTTTTTGTAAAAAAAAAAAAAAAAAAATTCTTTTGGTAGGTGGTACATTTTTATAAGGTCTTAAATCCATTACCATTTCCTTTAAATTGCCAAAGGCAGGAAACAAAGCTCTAATTCTACTGCAAATTCCATGGTAGGCGCAGGTTTCAGTGCCTTGAATAGACATCACAAGGCTGCTTATGATCAAAAGAATAATTAAAATCATGTAACCACTTAAATGTCACAGTTAACACTTTTCATTCTTTCTGTTTATTCACATAACTCATTATTTTGCCTTATTAAAAATCTTCCTTCACCGCCAAGCTATTGTGTTCATTTAACTTCCAAATGACTTTAATAAAATCTTGAATTTGTATCACATATTTCTTCTTGACTAAAATAAAGAATAATCTGATGTTAGGGTATCTACATTTTTGTTTACCCCCCCTAAAAAATGACCTCATCTAATTGTATTGGTTGTAGATGATAATCTCTGACCCTTTCCATGAAAGAAATGTAAAATGAAATCAGTTTCTTCTCACATCAATTTGTTAGTTTTTCCTTTGAAGTCTGTTTCTAAATTAGGAAGGAGGAGAAAAACATCTCTAGGAGATTCTGCCAAAGGATTTTGGAAAGCAGCATTCCTTCACCGAAGAAACAGTGACTTTGCCGGTGGCTGGTAGACGAGCCGAGAAACGAGAGAGAAAAACTCAAGTATGTTTTTTGTCGCTGGAGAGAATCTGTTCACATCAAAGCATTCTTCGAAGAGACTCTGATGCCAGAGAAGTTGGACAAATGTGCACAATCACACCAGACCAGTGTGGAAACCGCCTTTGCAGAGTCACTAAACAACCAGTTGTTTAACATCTGTGATAGGCGGTTTTCCTTCTCACGTACAGCAGCACGTGTGGAGATGAAAATAAACCCAAACACAGGTTTTGTGCGAACTAAGAGGGCTGCCAGCACCCAAAGGCCTTACAGCCAAAGACAGGTAAGATGAAATGGACTCTCAGTGGGTTGTGGGAGACAGACCTTCCCCTTTGCCCTGGCATCTCCCATCTGTTTCCCAGTTGAACTCCCGGGGCCAAGACCATTGCAGTATGTAGAAGCTAAAGTAAGAACAAAAGGTCCAGAACTTACGGGAGCACGAACTTTCCCAGTCAGCGGACTTTGTATTTCGACCTTTTGCTTCTGTGTAATATCCTGATATCACATTACCCATGGGAGAGGAAGCCCTGGGTGCCCTCGCCTGTTTTGAGAATTGAGTTGATATATTTTTTACAAAAGCAGAATTTGTTTTGGCCTGAATTTTTTATTATTGTTATTTTAAAGCTTGTGAACTTGTAGAAGGAAGAACAGTGCCACCACCATTGGCTGAAAGACTTCACCTAGAATTAAATTAACAACAAAGCATTAGTAAAATTGGCACTGTGAAAGATGCGTGAGAAATTCTTTTTCTAAAAGATGAGCTCTCTGGATCAGAATATGAGCAAAACACCTAAATTTGTTAGGAGGAAATATCTCCAAGAAACATGGAGATAGAAATAAAAAGGCAAAAGTTCACTCGTAATAAAAAAAATACAAATCAAAAATAAGCAAGAGTGTAACAATGAGAAATGTGCAAATATTTTAAGGTCGTATTAAATGTTGGGCGAGTAATGTGAGGTAAATATTCTTCTGTCCTGCTATGGGGAATATAAATTTCCAGCAAGGTTGCAGCAGTTTAACAATGTAGGAAAACCCTAAAATTATGTACTTGTAGAATTTTTGCTTCCAAGAGTTTATCCTGAGGACACTGCCAGAGATGCAAAGAGCTGTATTTTTGGCATGGTAGCCATAGTGTGAATGTGAGGGAAAGCCAGGTGACCCAATGGAGGGTTCATGGCGTATCCATATGAAGACATTGACAGTTGTTGAACAGTCTCTAAGGACAGTGGGAGATACCTAATTCTATCACCTTGTTAAGTAGCATAATTTTTAAAACTATGCAAAGATGATCCTAGTTTTATAAAAATGAAAATTGTATTTGTAGTATGTGAATGTAATGATGCTAGATAGACCAGGCTGCTAAATAATCTCTACATTGTACACCAAGATGTTTTATCTAACTCTTTTTCTAAAAGGCCTCTGCTTTTACCTTACTGCAATGAGCATGTACCCTTGTAATGAGAAACACTAAACACATATTTTTCCAAAATGAAATTGGCATATTATTGTATGTTACGTAGTCCAGAAAATTAAACTTTATTTTTAAATTCAAAGCATAATATAAAATGTCAGATTAGCATGTTTTGTTACTAAAATGAATTTTCACATTTTAAAACATTATTCATGCATGTGTATGTTTTGTCATTTGTGCACACACAGGTGCCCCTGGAGACATGTTACTGTGTGCACATGAATTCCAGTGACCTTAGAGGCTAGAAGAGGGCAACAGATTCCCCTGGAGCTGGAGTAAAAGGTGGTTGTGAGCTGCTAGACAGGGGTTTGGGGAACTAAACTACGGCCCTCTGAAAGAGCAGCAAGTGTTCTTAACAACTAAGCCGTCTCTCCAACCACTACATCATCTTATTTTCTGTATATATCTACTTGTTATGAAATTAACAAAAAATTTCACCGTACAAAAGGTAGTCTTTTAACAAAGATTCTGACGTTTTTATCAATTCTACCAGCTGTCAATGTCTTGCAGTCATTCAAAGGGCCTGTGTTGGCAAACATTGTATTACATACCATATACTCTAAATGTTGTATGTCATATGTGAGGAGGGAATATATAATCTCTCCATCAGTAACATTTCAAAATACTTCTGTGCTCTTTGGAAATAAGTCACAAGTCTGTCAGTCGTGCATACTAATACACTGTGACAATAACCTCTTCATGTTTACCTCCTCTGCAGTAAAACATTGGAATTCACAGTCTCCTCTTACTCTCTTTTCTGTTAGGAATAACATAACTCATTTTCTGAGGACCTTCCACATCAGGCTTTTTACCGGTTTCTGTTTTCATTCGTTCTCTTTAGTGTTCATACTCAGTTGTAGGAAATATAACCTCGGGGAGATTCTAGAACTTTCCCCCAAGCCTACACAGCTAGCATATGGCAAGTGAAGGATGTAACTAGAGTACCTTTAACTACAAGCACGTGTCCTTTCCAAGCCCATATTGCCTCTTGAATGCCAGTAAAGCTGCTTGGGTCTTTCATAGACAGAAGCCCCACCAGCACCACTGATCCAACATCTCTTCAATTGGAGTTCTGCCTTTGAGATCCAGAAATGTTCATTTTATTAACGTATCTGAGCAGTGCATGCTAACAGCTAGGTTAGCTGTTACATTACCCCGTCTCTCAGTGCTGAGCCTTTGGTTCCAGTGTCTTTTCCCCATGTGTAGTTAGATGACAGCATATCTCTGTTGGCTAAGTGATGTACTGACCAGAGCAGATGAGCTTCACTCCAGAGGATACGTAGTTGCTCTTTCCTCTCTAGTCTAGAAAGGCATCGTTTCCACTGACATCCCATCGGAGAAATGCTGTAGCCCAAAAGGGATTTCCTCCCATGACCCACGTAAAGAGCAGTACCTCTTGAAGGAGATACAAAGTGGCTTTGGGAATCATTTCCCAGCCTAGCATGATCAGACTACTTGGAAAGCTGTTCTCAGGGGCTCCTTCAGAGATAGAGGAGAGATCTCATCATATCTGTGCTGGACAGCTTCAGTTGTCAACATGGCACCCCTGGGAAGAGGGAACCTCAGTTGGGGAGTTTCCTCTACTGGACTGGCCTGTGGGCATGTCTGTGAGGCATTTTCTTGATTGTGGTGTGATGTGGGAAGGCCCAGCCCACTGTGGTGGTGCCACTCCTGGGCAGTCCTGGGTTGCATAAGAAAAGCAGGCTGAAGCTGAACTTGGTGGTACACGCCTTTAATCCCAGCACTGGGGAGGCAGAGGCACGCAGATTGCTGTAAGATTGAGGCCAGCCTGGTCTACATGAGTTCCAGACCAGCTGGAGCTTCAGGGAGACCTTGTCTCAAAATACAAAATATTTTTTTTTTAAAGAAGGGCAGTCTGAGCACAGTCCAGAGTAAGCAGTGTTCCTCCATGGTCTCTGCTTCAGCTCCTGCCTCCAGGTCCCTGCCTGGCTTCCCTGGGTAGACTATCACTTGGAAGTGTAAGATTTGATAAACCCTTTCCTCTCCAATTTGGTTTCGTCAGTGTTTTATCACAACAGAAAATCAAACTAGGACAATATCTATCCTAGTATCCTCATGTCAATCCCGTTAGACATTCTCTAAGGCATATTAAATATTCAAATATGAATAAATGAAAATTAATGAACAAATATATGTTGTGTCCACTGGGTATTTCCAATGTCTTAGTATTTTCCCTAAACATGTGGTCTCCTATTATCCATGTAGGACCATGGCTACTCTGTGATGGTTAGAGGTCTTCTGAAGAGTAGATATGTGTAAAAGGTTTGTAGACCCAGAAACATAGTAAATTAAGGACCCAAGGTCAGGTAAAAATGAAGTTATCAGAAAAGGCTTTAAATTAGAATGACTTTTCACCTAGCACCTAGGGTACATACTAGCTCCTATGAAAACTGAGCAAGCTATAAGTTATGTATTTGACAGTGCATATTCTTCCTGGAGGCTGAGAACTGTATTCACTCCCCCCACACACACACACAAGCATTCCTCAAAGCATCCTGATTTCCAAATTCACAGGACTGACATCAGTCTGGAGGCAACATCTTGTTGCTACTGCCCAGCACTATCTGAAATTGGCACTTTCTACACACAGATGCCAGCAAATCCAGCTTGGTTCAGCCCAAGAAGAAAGCCTTACCAGTGACTAACGATGGCAAGTAGGGGAAAAGCGCAGTCCATTCATAACTCCTCCAGAGTACCACCCAGAATATGCCTGCAATGCTCAGCAGCCATCCTGACGCTTGTGTGGGCTGCTTGCTGTATTTTTATTTTAACAAAGAACCACTTTATTCACCATACACAATGCCACAATGAGACCAAGGCTGTAACTAAGAAAGGTTCTGCCTGAAGACTTGGTCTTAAATACCAGATTGCCAACCACTCAGCAGCACTGGCTTGGTGGGTTAAGATCCATCACTCAAGAGATATCAGTGACAAGCAGTGGAGATGAGAGTTGATATAAAACCTGATCCTCTAAAAAGAGTGGTGGTTCCCATTGCCATGTGGGAAGGCACAGAGGTAAAGACGCTGGGGTCTGCTGGCCGGGGAAAGGCTGCAAAGGGAGTTATCCACATGGCTGATGATGTGGAGATGGGTATAGCTTCGGCTTCCCTTGGTCACAAGTCACCTCCATTGGATACTATTTTGGGTTGATTAGTTACCCCACCACCACCACCCCAAGATTCAAGTTCAACTAGCACCTGAGAATGCGTCTTATTTGGAAATAGTCTTTGTGTGTGTAATCAGATATGTGAAAATAAGTTCCCACTGGATTAGAGTGAGCCGTAAATCCAGTGACTTTTCACACATCTGTATGATGACAGAGGGACACAGGGAAGAGGGTCATGTCACTCTGAAGGCAGTACTTGGAAGGTCAAAGCTACAAGACTAAAGATGCTAAGTAATGCAAGGAGCTGGGAAAGGTGAGAAAGGATCTTTCCCTAGAGTCTTCAGAGGGAACACACTACACTGTCTGTTTTCATTTACTGTGACAAAATACCCAAGAGAAACAATTTATGTGGGAGAATGATTTACTAAGGTTCACAGTTTGGGGTTTTGGTCTAAGGTTCAGCTGGCTCTGTTGTTTCTGGGACATAGGGAGGCAAAACATCATGGCAGATTACATGGCACAGCAAAGATGTTCATTGTGTGGAAGTCAGAAAGTAGAGAGAGATATAACAGGATTCTTGACATGATGATGATGATGATGATGATGATGATGAAAGACAGATGATAGATTGATGATAGATGGATAGATAGAAGATAGATAGATAGATGATAGATAGATATAGATAGATAGATAGATGATAGATATAGATAGATAGATGATAGATAGAAGATAGATTAGATAGATAGATAGATAGATAGATAGATAGATAGATAGATGATAGATAATGTTATAAACCCAAGACACACCCTCAGTGACCTTCCTCTAACTAGGCCCTATCTACGAAAGTTACCATAACCTGTCAGTAATACCATTAAATTATTAATCCATCAGTGGATGAATTAAATCCCTCATGGTCCTGTCAGTGATTGGATCCATCAGCTGGGAACCAAGTATCCAATACATGAGCTTTTTAGGATATACTTTGGAACCAAACTATAAAAGATTATCACCAAAACGTGGCAGAATAAGTGTCTACAGGTTTAAGCTGCTAATTTGGTGATATTTAGTGGTAGTTTCCACAGGAAACAAAGACCAGCATCTAGATCCAGCTCAGAGCAGACCAAGAAATAGGACCCGTAGCCAGCAGTGACTGTCTGTAATCGTAATGGAGAAGCCAGAGCCACCCAGAGCTGCCTGTGGTTCTCATTCTGTTGCTGTGTATGACCAGTTTCCATGATCCAGCCCAACAGTCTGGACTGTGACTATCGGGAGCTCCTTGAGGAGATGCTTCATCCACTTCCAGCCTTAGACATCCAGCTACCCAGCTTAGAAACTGAAGGATTCCTGTTTGACTAGGTAGCTCCTATCTGCAGTGGACTCTAAGAATGGAATTACATCTTTCAAGGAAAGAATAACTTTTCTATTTCCTCATCAAAGGACTCATTTCTTTATAGGTGTTGGGTGACTGTCTGTATTCATATTAATTTTCTGATCCACAGCTATAAACAGAGAAAACAATCAATATGAAAAGACTTTTTTTCTAAGCTGTTTTCTGTTATCACCTAGGAAAGGCTTAATATATATAGTTTTATAATCAGAATAAGAAGCTTCTATCTACCCCCCCCCAAATTTTTAAACAAGTTTTTAAATAATAGGTACAATCCATTATTTTATTCATCAATGGAGTATTTGTTGAATATACGTTAAATATGTGTTTATATATTCGCAGACTGTCTCAAGGACATATATGTGAGCAATATATTAGAGGTTGCCCTGGGGACAGAAACTGGGAATTTATTTTTCAACACTGTATCCTTTTTAAAATGCCATCTACATAAATGAAATATTCAGAATAAGTAAATACATGAAGCTTTAATTTTTATATTTAATAATATTTTGTAGCCCTTCACCCTCTCTTCCCACCCCCTCTCTGAAGTGTTCCTTGAGCCTTAGAATGGGCATTGTAAGTTACTTGTTTTAGGGATGGGCCCACACCCATCACTTATTTTCTGCATCT